TGCCTAAATAAATGACATCATTTTCAGAGCCACCCACATATCCACCCCCTGCCCCACACGCTAGGGGGCAAGGGGCAGTGGGTCAGGAGTGAGAGGCAATGGGCTGGAACTGGTCATTCATGTTTACAAATGGGTCCTGGTACAAAAATGGTTGAGAACCCATGCCTTAGACCAACACCACTGCAACCAACAACCCCGTACCAATAGCTAGAGCATTTTTCTCTGGCCCTTCCACTACATTTGGCTGACTGCTGTTGTATTTTAATTATCATATATGCCTTAATGTTCCAGTTGAAAAAAAAAAACCATGATAGACTTAAACAACCAAGTACTTCATAAAGCTGATTTTTTTTTTATAGCCAACATCATCTCAAGTTATTTGGGCATTATTGGTAACATACTGGTCAGCCGGATATGTGCTTCAGATGGATGTACAGTAGACAGGCACCCTGATCTGATCCTGAGTTACACTGCCACAACCTTTATCTGACCTGGGTTGTGGCAGTGTAAATCAGGACTAACCCTCCAAATGTCAAAGGAGTTGCACAGGAGTCACGTTCAGACTGATATATTATACACAAACACCAATTCACATTCTTCAGGAGACATGGCCGTGAAAACAACATATTTGCTACACATTTTGTTCTTAGGATTTTTTTTTTTGGTCCAGTTTAGGATTCTCCCCAACTCTTATGTTTGTGTGTGTGCACAAAGCAAGCCTACCAAAACTGGATACAAGTTGTTGTTGGGGGTTTTGCCTTGTTGTTGTTGTTTCCTTAATAAATAACCAAACCAAGTGCCAGCTCATATCAGTGACCCTTAACATTAATGTGCAGAGGCATATCCTTCTCATCTGAGCTGATTCAGAACACGGATCAGAAATATTCTTTGCTTTAAGATTTATATTTGGAGTATGAGGTACAGAGAAAAGTTCTGATTAAGCCTTCAGTCCACCTAAAACATTAAATGGTGTTTTTTAAAGTGCAAAAATATAAGCAGCTTTGATCTAATTCACATTACATGGTTCAGCTGTAGAGTTGCCTCCATGAACAGTGAGCAGCAGACCATTTATGGAGCTGAAATTTAAGATAATTGTCTTTTTAGATTCTCTGAGTACTCTCTCAACAAAACCAATCTTGTTTTCTTATTTGGTTTTGTACACATGATATAGTAAGACAGGGTCGCCTATACACTTGTATCAAATACATACAGTTACATGTGTGCACACATGTCTGTGGTTAACCTGAAAGACCAATATTCAGATTTCCCTTAAATGGAACCAGTGATATCCAGACAACTGCTTCAGTCAGTCTGTTTGTAAAGAAACTAGTGAACAGCTGCAGTGAAAGGAAGTAAATCACAGCTGCCTTAAAGTTTAATAAAGTGCATTATGCTAGAGAATCTGCCGATAATGAAACATTTTTAAACAGCAAGTTCTCAAGTACAATATTGAAAGTGTGTGATGTTTTAAGGAACGGGTGAGCTTTTGCAGTCCATTTTCTCTTTTTGCACACTTCTGCAAAACTATAAGCCAGAATCTCCCCTCTGTTTCAGAAGTGCAAAATTACAACACACTTGTCCCAAATTCAAGAGCAGAGAAGAGCAGACCTTGAGCCTTATAGCATTACTGATAGGAAAAGGCATTTGTTTTATATTAGTAAGAGAGAGACAACAGACATCAGAAAAGGGACATCATCTTCATGACATTTCTACCATTAATTATGTGGAAGCCTTACATTCAAATATAAATTCTAGAGTGATGGGTACACATTGAGTTATGCTATAATTACCTCAGAGCACAGAATATTCTTAGAGGTCTCCTTTCGACCAGTGTACTTCCTAAAGACCGATAGGAGTGTCTCCTCCACATTCAGAGAGCATGTAACAGCTTTGTTTCAGGAGCAGTTTTCTAGAAAAGAAGAGAAGCATTGGTTTGTGTTTATAATATAATTGTTGTTCAGTAAGACCTGGAAAGATATTACACACACACACACACACACACTGGTGTAGCCAACTGTGAAAACTATACAAGATGTGGGTCCCAAATTATTAGCCATTTCTTCTATAAAAGTCAAAACCAGTTGTACAGGTGTGTTGACCCACTGGAAAGATCAGTTATTTGTGTTTGCCACTCAGGCACAGAAACCCAGAAATAATCTAGACCTGGTTTTTCATTTTGACCATAACATTTGGTGACTCCACAATCAAAGTCCACTAGAACTGGCTTGTGGCAGCTGTGTGAAGCAGCAATTGCCATGTCCATAGTTTCATAGTTAGTAGAGTCGGAAGGAACCTAAGCAGATCATCAAGTCCGACCCCCTGCCATGGCAGGAAACAGTACTGGGGTCAAACGACCCCAGCAAGATGATTGTCAAGCCTTGTCTTAAAGACCCCCAGGGTAGGAGCCAGCACCACTT